GAACACTCTGTGTATACAAAATGACAATAAAGTTTGTCTAAGTCTATTTATCGCTGTCTAAAGAACTCAGACAGCACTGATACAGATGTAATGCAAACAAGACCACAGATGAACAATGCTTCAGTGCTCAAACTGAACTCTAATGCTTTGATTAATATCATCCTCTATGACTGCTTTCCTTTCTGGTACATGACTGTCCCACTCATTAGTGATCAGGTTCATTTTGTTTTCACTGTTTGAGAAACTAAGATCCCTTAGTGAAAATTTCGGAACAGGCAAACAGATTTCAACCTAGAGAGACTCACATAGAGTAATGCTGCGATTAGTAAAGTTTTATTGACATGAATGAAAAAGGTTCTTTGGCACTTGGGTGCCGGTAGAAGACTTTGATGCCATGAATCGACATTCGCTTGGAGGAGTATCCTAAGACAAGGTTCAGAGTAGTATTTCGCAGGACTGCCAGTTGAAAGTGATTAAAATGTTTAATTGAGTTAGTAACAGGGTCTGTACTTAATTTAAATTTAATTCAGTTTATTTCTATTGCACCAATTCAAAAACATGTCATATGAAGGCACTTTACAAATAAATCTAATTTCATTTGAAAGCTATTTATAGTAAATGGTAAATGACCTGCACTTGTATAACACATTTTCAAATCAGGAGACTTGACAAAAGCTTTTTACACTATATTTAGTCATTCACTCATTCATGCACACACTCACACACTGATGGTGGCAAGCTAAGCTGTAGCCACAGCTGCCCTGGGGCTCATTGACAGAAGCGCAGTGAGCCTCTGGGCAGCTGTATATCCACAAAATAAACCACCTTTTAATTCAAAACTTTTACATAATTTATATATATATATATATATATATATATATATATATATATATATATATATATATATATATACCGTATATAATTTTTAGTCAAACTATTTAGGTTATTCGACATTGGATGGTTGAAAGTTGTAATATTTTAAATTTTTTCGTTTTTGGAAACTCCTTATATTTTACGCACAGTTCATGGAAATGAATTAAAGCGCAACTCCTCCACTAACATTCCACATCGGGAATCATATNCAACTCCTCCACTAACATTCCACATCGGGAATCATATTGTCGGATAAAAATCAAACATATTTTAAATTCAGGCTGCCTTCATAAGGTCATTGTGAGTGTATCCTGCTGTTGAAGCAGAGTTATGAGCCCATTGACCTCAACCTGGTGTATTCTACATGTACAACCAAGCAAATTCTTCTTCTCTGACTTTACTTCCAGATAGACAAGTCTGATCAGCACCAAATCTCTAATGGGCTGAGTCCGATGTCGGGTTTTTGGTCGTACAATGTGAGCAGATCACATTAGAGCATTGGGACACACAGCGTGTGAACAGATATCAGGAGCTGCGAAACTTTAAACCCTGCACTGTCAGCGTACAGTTTGAGCTGCATCTGAGTACAAACATTGAAAACATGCCACAAGTGTGCCTGTCTTTAGATGTCCATATTGATTTGAAGTACTAGGATCGAGCCATGGTTTTTAAGCTTGAATATTCCAGGTAGACCAACTCCTGTGATGCCGCTTGTGTGTCAGATTTATTGACCCAAAGCAGGGCTCTTAAGATTTTAGTATGTTTTTAAGAAAAAGCTATTAATTGTGTTAATTATTTCAAGCGTTAAATTGTTTCTAATTGATGAATCAAAATGAACAAGTTAAAGTCCTGCCCCAAATTTTGTCACACTGCAACTACAACGTCTGCTGCAGATAACGCTGTGCATCATCCGCACGGTGACACCTGTTTGTGATCCACGAGTCGTCATCCTTGTGAGTGAGGCACAACATCACTGAGAGTCGCCAAACTCTTAATGCTTGCATAGTTCAGGGACGGATTACTCATACATTAAGGTTTTATAACAAGCAGCGCTTAAAATAACAGCATTCAGGGAGATTATTACTGGATAAATAGATAGAATAATAAATATGAACATTTTCTCTGCAGATTACAAAATATTTGAAAAATATGAGTGTTTTTCAGAAAATTTTAATCTTTCAGGTGCCTTAATATCTTTGTTCTCCTGATTGAAGCTGCGGTGGAAGAAATAATTCATCTGGGAAACCGTATAACAAAGCTAAGGCAACAAGCACTTATGTTATATATAATATATTAATAATAAAACAATAATAGAGTCTTTATACACACTCATACTGCTGATAGCAGGGTGAAGTAGACCAGTTTCCCAGTACATGATGCTGGCGGGGAGTCAGCAGGGCAAATTCATGCTTGTGTGTCGCATATCACAGCAAGCCGGAAGAAAAAAGAGGCAGGAAGACAGAGGGATAACAGCAGGGCTTTACATGCAGGCACACAGGCATGTTCACCAGAACATGGCAATACAGATCAGCGTTTAGATTCTACCATAAAATGAATGTAGTGCTTTAAAAGCCACTGCTATCTTCTCACTCCTCCCCCAAAATTATTCTGGTTTCCTTTCACACGGGAAAAACGATCTAGAAATAAGTACAGATTTCTTAAATTATGTGTATTTACCCTTAATTTGATTAGGTAAATAAGATAATTTGCCTATGTAATTAGTATTTTTATCCTTAAAATAAGATATAAAGATGATATGCACTTGAAATAAGACAATGCGATTGTGTTTCCTTATTTTAAGTGTAAATTGTCTTGTTCCATTGGCAAAATGTCTCTTTTACCTCCTGAATCCAAGAACAAATGCACTTATTTTAAGAAAATAGGACTTATCTAGATTTCGTTTGTCATTAAAGATCTACAAATGTTACCAAACTGCACAGATTATTTGATAAAGAATATACCACCATTTATAATAAATGAAAAACCTTCTGCAGAGCTTAATAGTTTTAACTTCAAAGTTGATCTGTTTAAGCCATACTGTTGTACACGCGCACATCTTCCCAGTTTTTATTGAATCATTACACTTGCCGCCTAGAAAGCCAGTGGAGGTTCAGCTATTTGTCAGCGGGGGCTTCTTAATTACGACATCTGAGGAAGCGGGTCGGAAAAGCCCCCGGAGGGTCGAGACACACTGATGTGAAGCCAAGCTGTCAGGGCAGCAGAGCGCCCAGAACTTTCCAGCAGAGCGGAGGACCGGCCTATTTAGGTTATTGTGATTCAGGATATAGTTCCCGTCAGCTCTGACCCTAACCTCAGAACATCCTGTTCTAACAGATTCCTCTTCACTTCTATCATTTATTTCATGATAGAAGTGAAGAGCTTCCTTCTCTGCTGCCTTGTTGTGTGTTTTTTGTTTTTTTTTGGAGGTGTTGCTCTGACTGCTCTCAGCTGGTTGAAGGTTGCTTGAGGAGATGAATATTGTCCTCATGGTGATCTCATTTTTGTTTGCTCTGAACGGAACAGAAGGAACCAAGAAATTTGGGTGGAAGGAAAAAGTCTTTGATTTTGATTGATTGACTTTATTGATCTCAGAGTGGAGAAGTTACATCAGGCCTATAGTTAAAAAAAAAAGAAGTTGATCCAAAACGTTTGTTTTAAACCCAAAGCTTAAAGACCCTGACCCTTATCCTGCAATATCTCTTTATTACTTTACATACTCAGATGGTTTTCTTCTTAAATCCAACTGTGAATATTTCCTCTCTGTCATGGATGGCTAATGACATATTCTTTAGTACAATTATAGTGATATTGATTGAGTTTTAAGAATAATTAGGTCTTTTGAGCGCATTCGTGCTCCTGGTACTGAAGGCCTCTCTCTGCAAACAGAACACATCCACACATCTGTGATCCATTTCTCCCTCCATCAGATGAGTCTCTTACGTCCCCTGTTACCTCTATCCTAGTCTCATCTGTCCGCTCATTTTTTATTTTTTCATGTGTCAGTGGGTTCAGAGAAAGGAGTTCATGCGCACCATCAAGGCAGTAGCGTTGCTATGCAATAAAACGCCACAGTTGATCCGATCTAAATTATTTTTGTTTTGTTTAGATATTTTGAGCTTGGGAAACATATTTTCTACATTTAATGCACAGAAAATGTGTTGAAGCTGTTTAGCTACATGAAGCATAAACTTCATTCTTAGTTGTTGAGCTCCAGCTGTGTGGAGGCATAATTTTCTCTTTAGAATTGCTTCCGGTTTACTGAGGTTCAGTGCATTTGTAACAATTAAAGCACATTGTTGCAGATTAATCAGTGTTGTCTGGTTTAGTGCCAGTGTATTTTATCAGGTGAACCTGTAAAACAAAATATGCCATGACTTTTATTGCCCTTCCAAAAGGTTGGGCTGCCTCTAAAGAAATAGGATGGACAGAGGAGCAAACAGAAGCAGAGCTGACTGGCTTGACAGAGATCTGGAGACGAGCAACAAGCTGTGTTTCAAAGAATCTGCAAACATAAATACTAATAATAACATTTATATATCTTCATTTTTTTGTCTCATGCTAATCCAGTTCTATAGGCAGATTGAAAATGTATGATTGTTCCAAACAAAACTTTTCCCTGATTTGAATCTTTCTGGTGTTTTGTTGGTTTAAGAACATTTCAAAACCAGATATTGGGGATCTGTTATCAGCTGCTTAACAGACCTTTTGTCGACCATCATGCTCTTAAGTTTATTTAAAACTTATGTTTTTGAGATAAAATTTTTTTGCTAATGGAATAATTTTCAACATGAACATGAAGACAAAAATCTAAATATTAATACTTTACTAATACTCTAAATATTAATACTTTATTACTTCATTATTACTGTTTTTAACCCCTTCAACTGTACTTGTCTTTCAATCGATAATGCTGAATCAGTGTCTGGTTCACATTTCTTAAATTTGTTATTTTAGCATTAATGATAAATAAAAAAAAAAATCAAATATCTTATTAAATGTGATCTGCTACTGATCTACAAACTGACCCATGTTGGATTAATTTTTCCACTATAGCAAACCTATTGAAAAGAAACACAAAATCTATATTCATCTCATTTCTAACATAATGCATTTTTCCTGTTTTGCAGCATGAAAACTGCTGAAGCTGCGGCCGACCCAGAGTGAACCGTCTGATCAGAACCATCTCATCGCATCTATTGGGGGAAATTTTCCCAACTTCCCTTCTTTCAAATCTCCCATTCCTGTTTCACATTTCCTTTTACTAGTTGCTCGTTTTTTTCTTTTATTTTAATGGCCTGGATGAAGATTTTCGATTTTTTTCTTTATCTTCCTCTCTTTCTTTGCCAACAAGACCAAAAGCAGATGCCAAACTGACTGTGTTAAAAGAGAAAGCAAAAAACAACAACTAATGGAAAAACTTTTCTCTACATAATCAAGTATTTAGTCAAACCAGCCTCAGCTCCTGATTTATTTACCAACATAAACCTTTAAGTCATCCTCCCTTTACAACCTCTGACATCATATTTATTTGCTTCTGACTGCGCAGTGTTCGCTGCTCTTAGTGCTAAAACTGCGTGATTTCTCCTGCCAAGACCATAATCAGTGCATTATTGGTTCAAAGTGCTTTATAAACCCAGTGACAGAGGAAGCGTGTGTTGAGCAGCGATAATTCTCTGACTCCGTCTGAAGATTTTATTTTTAATCAGAACGGCGTTTTGACTGACGTTTAACACGAGCCACGTTTGACCAGATAAATCCACAACCGCCATCATCATCGCCGCTGCTGCTATCTGAGAAGCTTAGACGTACACTGTCCTCTCAGTCTGCGCTGTGAAACACTTTGCCTATCTCCTTCTTCCAGTTGCTTACATCAGAGAGGCCTCTCAGCCATTGTCGTCTTGTTTCTTCCATATGTTGAGCTCGATTAGCGACGTTTAAGCCCCCTTTATCAAGTCCCAGTGAGCTCTTGACTACTCTCCTGTTTACTTTAGGAAAATAATGCAATTTAAAACCTTTCACTCTACTCGTCTTTCTAGATAAAAGAAAAACAATTTTTTAAGCAAAAAAAAAAAAAAAAAGAGCCAAACCTGAAGCCATACTGAACACCAGCCATACAGATAACTTTAACATTTGCAAAACTCCTCACAGCATTTTAGCTTTTCGTTTTATAACAAAGTGATCTTCGTCATCTTGGTGCACGCAGACACACGTTCAGGGAATCCATGAGGAAACTGTTGGTTCCTCCGTTGGGGTGAAAGAGGAGCCTCTGTGATTCGTGTTTTTTTCTAAGGCATTTTTTCTAGTCTGCGGCTTTGAATCGTGGCAGCCACGGTGACCACGTCTAGTTCCCCTTCTACGTCACGTGTTCCTCTGCATTGACGGATGAATCCAGACAGTTTCATGTCTGTTCTGTGGGCAGAACCTCGCTGCCCTGCTAGAACCGGGCCCAAGCCCTCCTTTGTTCTCTTCTGTTGGGCCAAGCTAAATTCAGAGCAGAGACACTCGCGCAAAGGAACTGAACGCACATAGATCTGTGCTTTTTTGTTTTGTTTCTTCGGTTCCTCTAAGTGGTTACCTGCTTCCGTTCTGAACGATTAGATATGCCAGTTTAACGGACTGATCTGCTTCTTCCAGAACGTCTTTCCTGAAAGTCTTGAAGCTGCTTAATGCTGTTCCTTTACCTTATATTCATTTAGCACCATCAGAGCTCACAGCTTTTTAAATCCCGTGTTTAGACCAAACCTCTAAGCATACACACCTTTACTGAGCCTCGTTCTCCAAGTTCTTTAGTAGAGCTTATTATGGAGATTGAAAGAGTGATGTAGAAAACCCACAAACTGAAGAAGCTTGTGCCAAATTCGATCTCTGAAGCTGCCACCACTGTTGTTTACAGACTCTCAGCCTGAAGCTACATTGTTTTCTTTCCGTGTCTGATTAGTATATTTTCGTTGGATAACAGAAGTGCCAAACTCCCGGAAGAACAGATCCAGCATCATTTGGTTGGAGCGATTTGAAGTTTACATACAACGCTAAATGTTTACAGTCCACCGTTTCCATAGCAGCTTCTTACGTGCCAAACAGAGCTTCTAGAAGCGGCGTCCTCGTCGGTCATTCTGTTCAGAGTTTACAGTTTTCCTCAAACTCTTTTTTGTTTACAGTAAACGTGTAAATACTGCCACTCTGAAACAGTCTGAGTTTTGGCCAAGAGGAAGAAAATGCCACTCTGAGAGCTGAGGGACCCTAACTGATTATCCAGACCCCAGTGCCATTCGACAAAGTGGCTTTGTGTTGTTAACGTTGGCTGGTTACAGGGCCTACACCCCTGATGGACCTCAATGTTTACACAAACTGCTATTGGATCGGTTTGTTTGCATAGAAATGTTTACATTCTGATGAACGAGTGAAATGCCAAACACATTCTTGGATCAGCTGCTGAACGGCACCCCAACGCCGTGCATCTGAACTGAAAAATTTTTCATCTCAAAGGTTTTGACACTTCAGAGGGCTGCCATCTTGGAGTTGGACTCTGATTTTTTTTTTCCTGAATCCCGACTGAAGAACCTAAACCCAGAACAATGAAACCCACGCTGTCAAAAAGGAGGATTTCCTCCTGTGTCATCCTGCTGCTTTTACTCTGCCTCCCCGTTTTCCCCCTAACAATTACCGTGAAGCGACGAGGTGGCGACGGCGACCAAAGTACGCTCGATAGCACCAAAGGTTCCGCTGGTAAAACGAGCAGCACCTTGTTCCTTTTGACGGGCTACAAGGCCGCACCCTCTGGAGGATCCGAAGTGGCACTGAAAGCGGCCGAGATGGAGGACGATGATGATCCGCCAGCGGTGGCTGAACTCCCTCCGAAGCCCCTCCCACAGAGGATGTACCCACGGGACGTGACGGAGAACCCACTGAGGCCTCCGCTCAGTGGGGCCCAGGTGGCACCCCCACTGGTGGAAGGGGAAGTTTGCAGGTACAAACATCCTGTAGTGTAGTTATTTTAATTTATGTCAAATTTGATATCATTGCACATTGAAAAAAATATCAAACACATGTAAATTAAGACAAAAATAAAACTGTTGAAAGGTCTAAAATAATTAGTTAGTCCTTTTAGGGTTTGTTAACCATCATCTCAGAGTGAAGCTGATGAACAATTTGAAGCATCCAAATAAAGTCCAGTGACCTCTAAGCTCTAATTTGAACCTATTTCCCTGAGTATTCTTAAAGGTAAGGAAATCACATAGTTAGGTGGGCCCACACATGACAATGTTCTTTTGAAGAAATAACCGTTAATTTATAATTAATTATATCTATATCTCTGCCAAGGAGGTTATGTTTGTATGTTAGCAGGATAACTTGAAAAGTTATGAATGAATCATAAACATTCTGGCATTTTGTCTTTCAGCCAGCTGGCCAACAGTGCAAAGATGCACAAGAAATTGTACTTTTTAAAAATTCAACTCAATGTAGTTCAATTATATAGCTCCAGTTCACAACACATCAGCTCAAGGCACTTTAATCATACCAGATCACCCAGTCAGATTCGTTCACAGTAGAAAAAACAGCTGCATTGACTCGGCAGCAATCCCTCACACTGAGAAATTAGAGCCAATAAAGCTTAATCCTAAAAAGCAGACAGTAGGGATTGAAAATGCAGAAAAATCTAATCTAAAAAAACATTTTTTTTGTTTTCCTTTTTATTGAAACAGTGAAGAAAATTGTTTAAAACAGGCCATGTTTGCAGCAGTGACGCTTGGAGCGACTCCAGCTTCCTCCTTCGGCCTTTAATGTGTTCATCTCACTGAATGCCATAAAATAGAAGAACATCATGATTTTCCTGCAGCTCTCATGTTGATCCCACCAAAGCTCATATGCTGCACTGAGAGGCGTCTCGCTGTTGCTGAGCAACACATAATCAGCTCTAAATCAGTTGTCTGTTGGCAGGCCACACACTGCGACCACATTCAGGCAGCCAGAAGCAGAGAAAGAGGAAAGAAGACCATCACAGAGATAAAGAATTCATTAGCTTCAACTTCTTGTCTCTTTTTCATTTTTTTTCTTCAGGATTTCTGTTAATTGAATCTTATGATCTCAAACTTTTTCCCCAGGGGCTACTTCGACGTCATGGGGCACTTTGACAATACATTCAACTGCTCCAAGGATACGTACGTCTACTGCTGCGGTACCTGCCATTACCGGTTCTGCTGCGAGCACCGGAGGAACCGACTGGACCAGGAAACCTGCACCAACTACAATTCCCCACAGTGGGCCGACCCGCAGGTCCCCGTCACTGTTTCCTCTGGCAACAAGCACGACCCCGACTTTGAGACGCTGCAGCAGCAGAGCAGCAGGTCAGGGTTGGAACATGTTTGCCAACTGGAACCAAAATATATATATATATTATTAATTAGTTTAGATCACTGATATATTTTTTGTAATCTTCTTAGACCTTCAAAAACTTTATAAAGATTTCTCTTCTGCAGACAGATGCCAAAATGTCCAGGAAAACTCAGACAGGTACCCTGTAGTTGATCATCATCTACTGTATGCTACGCTTTAAGCTAACAGCATGGAGTGAATTTTGTTCCATAATTGTTACAAGCACATTCTGTTAGTAGAAATTAAAAGAATTGCATGACATTTTTAAAAATGTCATAATAAAAAAACGTTTTCAGGGTAACTTTTGTTTTTTTTGTTTAGGTTTTTTCTTTTTCAATTTTGTATTTCCTATAATAAAATTTTTAATTTTATATTTAACCCTTTATAGGGAAAGTTACTGTTTTTCATCACTTGCATACCACTAACAAATGGAGTCCCCCCGTCCCTCAGTGAGGTCTAGAAGCACAAGATCTATATCCACCCATTCAGCAAAGATACTGCTACTTGGCTGTACATCTTATTTTGGTATTTGACCAATTAGATGTGACCTTGAATGATATATTACCTACACTAGAAAAATTATCTAAAAAGAAGTAAAAATGTCTTAAATTAAGTCTATTTACCCTTGAGTTGAATTGGTAAATTAGTACTTTTACTCTTAAAATAAGATAGTTCGACAATATGCACTCGAAATAAGACAATCCAATTGTGTATACTTATTCTATATCTAAATTGTCTTGTTCCATTTGCAAAATGTCTCTTTTATCGCCTCAATTCAAGAACAAATGCACTTACCCACTATTACACTGATATAAATCTTTCCCATCAAAATATCAATTATTTTTTGTAACATAAAAAAAAGAATTGATAAACCACTATAAGAACTGATCAGAAACCCTGCCTTACTGAACACCAAATACAAACAAATAACATGTTTATCAGTTTAAGGTATAGAAATGTAAGAAATGGCCTTCAGAATAACACTTACAGACAGTGGGATGGTGTGTGAAACATTTGAATGAAAATATCTGTTAGAGATTTTAGAGCTGATTGCTCTAAAACAGAAGCAAAAAGCTTTAGTGATTCAGTCACTGGTGGAGAAACTGTAATGTCCGGCAACTGCTGAGGTAATCTCCAGAGAAACAGACAAACTGTAGAGGATCTCCAGAGAAACAGACAAACTGTAGAGGATCTTCAGAGAAACAGAATATGTTGAGGTGTGAGACTCACTTTAGGATTCAAATGAACCCTGGTGGTCTTACCAAACACCTGCCTGGGTGGGGAGGTGTACGCTTTACCCCATGGGGAGGGATGGAGCTCCCACTAACAAAGTGGATCTAGTACTGGGCCAAAGTCACATCCAACTCTGTGGAAACAATCTCCCTTATTCCAATCTAAAATATGAGCTCTGTTAAACTTGATCTAGTCCAGGTAAGCATGTCTAAAGTACTTTACAACCTGTTTGGATAAAGCTTGAATACTTAACTTATTATGTTTAGCTATTAAGTCGAAGCTTCGTCATATAGCCTCTGCTGTCCATTGTAATAACATATAAATGTAACATCTTTATCGTGACAGCTGATGTCAAAAGTTTAACTTCCCCTCTTTATGTGTCATATTTTAATAGTAAGCTGGCCCAGATTCTTGTTTTGTATGAAATCAGTGATTTAAAGTGTTTAGCTGAGCCGTTTGTGTTGCTGCTTCGTTGAAGCTGCTTCTTTAACACACAAAGTTCAGAACATTAAACTGAAAGCAACACTTTTTCTCTCTGTGTGTCTCTGTTTACTTTTCTGAGTGACTTCCTGTTTGTTTGTCCCCAGCACTGGTTATGTGATCGGAGGGGTCATCTCCTTCACGCTGGTGGTGGCTGTGGGTGTCAGGGTCGCCTTCAGCAAGGTGGCGCGTCGACCACGCAACAGAGAGGTCAACATGCCCAGGTGAGTCTGTCCCCGTAAAGAGCTGCCTCAAAGTTTGTTTGGGGACTTTTTCTAGTCAACATAAAAACAATAAAAAAAAAATGATGGATTACAATTTTCAGCCCCTGTTCTGGACTGAATTTGTTTTCCAGCACCCACCGCTTTTAGAACAGAGTGGGTGATTTGTGGTAGTAATTACTGAGGCGATGGATCAGGGAATTGTTGTTTACTACGATCACATTTCATTTAATTAAAGTTTGCCCTAAAGGAAAGTTAACAATGAGGAAGAAATGGCTATAACTGACGACAGGAAAAAACCCACTCTGTTTATTATGCTGTTGATTTACATAAACATAAGCTTCACTTGCAGCAGTCAGCAGGTTTCCTCTTCATGCTCTTATAGTTTCTTTTTTTTTTTTTCTGAACAATGATTTTTAAGCTTTATTTTTCCTCTGGCAGCTTGTTTAGGTGTCTGAGCTCCTTCCTCAGTGTCTTCAGACAGGACTGATGCTCCTAAATTATCTTATACAAAGAATATAACCTTAGAAATGATAAAACTTGGTGTTTCTTTTTTTGTATATCTTTGCTGTAACATTTTATAATAATTTTTACTCTATAATATTACATATAATATTCTGTTCCAATTTCTGACTTAGAAGAACTTCAAACTGTTGTTCCACAAAGCCACATTGCAGGGTTATCTAAAGTAACCCTTGGTACCTTCTCCAAACTAAACAGTTCTCTAGAACGGAGGAAAGAAAGGGCAGATGTAACACCAGGGGTCTCACCATGTCAGCCCTTAAGAACTGTAGTTTTCTACACATTTACATTTAAGACTCGCAGGAAAAACGGTCCGAAGGCTCCTTGACTAGCTGTGTTTCCATTCATCCTAACATTGTAATTACGAAAACACAGCGGGAAAAAAAAAAGTGTGTTTTTGATTAAAGTATTTGCACTTGGATTGCGTTAAGTTGGGCACTAATCAAATGAGAGTAGAGAGCAGAGAAGAGCAACAATAAAACACTTTAATTCACTTCCCGATTAACATAATCAACTACCAGATTTTACGACTCACAAAAAAGGTGAAGAAGACATCAGGAGGCAGTAATTATTATGAACAAACTTATACGCCTGTGATTTTAATTGCAATTCAAATTTATTGGGGAAACAGCAATTCTGAAATTGGGTTGTTTTTTTTATAATATCAAGAAGGTTTGCACACATTTATAACGAAAACACCTCAAATGCAAAAAAATATCCCAACATGATACTTGATTTTTCAAGATGATAGGTTGCTAAAAAACGATATTTGGAAAGAATGTTATTGGTTTGCCCTGCCTATTATATGCTCCATTGTTGGTTTAATGACAGCATCAATAAATGTTAGTATATTTACAAAAAGAAATATTTCATGTGGTTCTTTTGAGTAGTTTTGAGTAGTAATGATAAAAAACACATTGTTTAACTACCTGGTTTTTCAAAATAAGTGTTTTTAAGAGCAACATTAGTGTTTGTAGCAACTCGCTGTCGCAATTACAATTTTATAAAGAATATATATATATATATATATATATAGCACAAAAAAATCAAAATAACATATTAATATTAATATATTAACATATAGTTCATATCAGCAATTCAATGATTCTCTACCAAAGAGATCTCAGACAAATCCATACACAGTCCATCCTGGGTCTCCAAGGAATCCAGGAGGCGTCCATCACTGCTCTTTAGGCCAAATTTAGCTTAGCCAGCAGTGGTAGGCTGGGGGAAAAAAAAAAACATCCACTAAAAATGTATATACAAAAGCTTTAAAAGTATTACTTGACCAAACTAACAGAATTACTGTCCAACACTGATGACGACAATTACCAAGAAAATCTCTAAATTCTTGGAGAGGAGCGGCTGGAAAGGCCCGATTAAATCCAACAAGGCTTGCCGTAGAATAGCAAAGTGAGGAGCCACAGAACTAAAGACCCTTTATTGTTTTTTTTTTCTTCACATTCTTAACATTTCAGTTCATAAACACTAATTAGGTTAAAGACTGTGGGATTGGCAGAGGGGATTAGTCAAATTGTGCATGGGAATAACACATACTGCTGGTTAAATGAGAAACATTTAGTTTAAACAAAGAGGAAATTAATTTCCTTACATTTAGAGCAATATTTACATTTTAATTCCAAACTAAACAAAAAAAAACAAAAAACAAACACATCCTTTTTTTAAAAACTTTTTTTATATAAATAAATGAAACAGCTGGAAATAAGGCAATTAAATAGAAAAAGAAGCATATGTTAAATGATGGCCTCTCTTCACCTCTCCCTGCTCTGATCTACTCATCTTTCCTCTGCTGTGTCAGATCCCTGGTGGACATTTTACGTCACCAATCGAGCCCCGTGCAACAGGGAGAGAGGAACAACGCCGCCATGCTGACCACCACCACGTCTGACGGGCGCACATCCAAAAACCTCTACACCCCAGTCCTGCAAATGAAAGACAACCGCAGTAAGTGACAAAGCGGTTCGAGTCAAGCCGAACGTATTCACACCTTTCTGGAGGTGAAAACGCAAAGCAGCGGTGTCATATTCAGGTTACACAAGCCTTGGAGTCAGGCCTGCTCGCCGTGTCCCTGCTGACAGGGAGGCTCATTATCACTGCTGCTCTCCTGCTTCTAAGATCTCACTTCAAACTCAGCTGCAGTCACACAATTTGCACTTGAGGTGGAAACCATTTTGCTAGGGCTTATATGCCGTTTGACAGGAAAATAAAATAAAAATCATTTCATTTCAAGACTAAACAACACAAGTGATTTTGAATTAAAGAGGCAGTTGAGTGATAAGATTAGTTAAAAAGCTATTTTTACTACCTAAAAATATGAACTTCATTCCCAAAACCTCGTAAATAACCATAAATATTTTTGTTGAATCAAGTTTTTATTTATTGTTTTAAAGAATTATAATAAAAAACAAACAGCTATTTTGCAAAAGACTTCAAATAAGATCAAATTTGCTGCAAAATAGACATTATGTTAATATTTTTGCTTGAATCTTTTTTCTCTTAAAGCTCTTATTTGCTGTAAAGATTAAAACATGAAAATCATCAGAATACTCTGTGTTGTGAGTTTGACATATTGACCATGCATTTTTACCAGTTTTTAAAGGAAATGCACAGATTTTAGAATTAGGTAAACCTGACCAGGTTGGTGATTTTGTTTTCTGGTGGGAATCAGTGGAGGTGAACTAAGATCACAATGAAAACACATTTTCTTCTTTTCTTCTTCTGCTGATTTTCTTTCCTTCTCTCCAGGATTTGGTTTGTTGTCCAGAAAACACTTGTTCACATTAGCTCTGTATCTTTTATCTCTGAAGCTAAACAGCCTATAAGTCATTTTGTTTGTATATTCTGCTGATTTAGCAGTTTGATGCGATTCAGTGAAACATTGTGACCAATGAAACGGACAGAAATCGAATTCCTGGAGGGAAAGCTGTTTTCTCCTTCCTGTCCATTTCTCTCTCTGCTGCTGTCCCTTCTCTGTCTCTCTGCTGACACAAATGCTTACGCGACACACGTCTCTGTGTCTCTGGAGGTGTCGTCCATCAGTTTGTTGGCTCTCCTCTCTTTGCAGCTGGGAACTTCCACCACCCTTTTAACCAGCAGGGGTCTGCTTCCAGCCCCAAACACTCTGCTACCATCGGTAAGCCTCGTGGTTAGCAGCACGAGTCCAGCCCGGGCGTTGGCGAGCTGCCTGCCGGACCCCCGGCTCCCCACCCCCCTGTCCGTCTGTCTTTGTCGGTGTTCGGCCTGTCGGAACGCTTTCTGAAACCAGCTGCGCCAGTCTCAACACTGTGTGTGTCTGTAGCTTCTATGTGGAAGCTGTGTTGAAATTGGCCGGTTGTTCATCAGAGCCTGAGCTTAAAGTCTGTCTGCCCCCCTTCCTCCCGTCACACAGCACCACAAGCCTGCTTGTTCCTCTATTTTATCCCTCTGTGTCACAGTGACATGCGAGTGCGCTTACAGCTGAGCCCGGACGAGAGAGAAGGTCCCGCTGTGAGCGGACCGGCTCTCCGACCCCAGTCCGTTTTCCCAGGCTTTGCATCAAGAAAACAAAAAGCAATGCTAGTCATTTACCGTATCTAAAAACAGGTTTATCTATGTTCCATCCATGAAGCGCAGCAAACCTCCCCTGAATGTAAAGCAATGCTGATGAAGGTTCTGCAGGATGTGGTTACCATGGAGATCTGATGATAACGAGATCAGAGTGATTTCCACTGAACTTTTTAAGTTTTAGAGAGTTATTCTGAGCATCTACACCTACATGCGTTTCCTCTGGAATGAATTACACAAGAAGACAGCTGCAGTGATTAGAAGCAGCTCAGAGTCCAGATGTTTCATCAAGTGTTTGTAGATTGAAGCTTCAGGAGAGCATTATTTGTTCTCCATGCTTTAATTTAGGCTAATGGATTACAGGAAGGGATGCTGAGATTAAGAGAAAAATCTTTCAGAGATGTTCACATTCCTGATTTTAGCTCATTAATGTCCTGTAATGATCGGCGGCCATGTTTGGTTCCGGAGCTTTTAAACTTTTATTGAACCTTTTCTCCTGTTTCTCCCATTTTCCACTCTCTTTTTTTTCTGCTTAATGGCTTTATGTTTGTGTTCCCATTTTAACTGACACATTTTTACTGAACCTTTTCCCTATTTCAATTAATTGTATGTGTGATTTGACCTAAAGGCAATGGCCTTGATTGACGTTTTAATTACAAATTCGCCATTAGCCAACCTGTGAGGAATGTCAAACCTGGTAAGACCGTTCAAGAAGTTCAAACTTAAATGATTGAAGTATTATTTTTCTAACTTAAATTACAGTTAAGGTAATTAAAGGTAATTGCATAACTCACTTTCAAAAATTAGCTTTTAATTAAGTTATCCCTTATAGGCAGTGATCTTTATATAAAATGCAACTAATTCCAAGCTTTAACACATATTTGTAAAGTAATCAAGTTTGATATTATAACACTTAGGACCTGATCTTCAGAAGTTTTGCATCCTAAAATAGGTGCAGATGTGTTTGCACACACCTACGAAATCCTGAAAGAAGCTGCAAAGTGATTTGCTTTTGCAAACGACAAACAGTGTGCAAACCATTGTTTTATGTGTGCCTTCATCAATATGCACATCACATTCTAATGACTAAACACAAATTCATGGAGAATATACAACTGTAAACATGTACCGATATCCACAGCGGATCAGAAATTGTACTGCTGCTTTTTTTTGGTACTTCTAATATACATCGTTTTGGCAATATACCGATTTAATCCGATTTAATCTCGACATTGCAGTATATAGTGATATTGCAATGTATCTTGACACAAGTATCGTGACAGATATCGCAACACCCATGCAAATACTCACCCCTTTCTTTTTTTTTGTGTCCTGTCTGGAAATGTGGCAATAAGAATAATTGTCTTGATGCCAAAAAGAGCCCAACAGATTTTACTTTCACAAGTGGAGCAGTATGGCAATTGCCATACTGCTCCACTTGTTTCATGCATATAAATTGCTTTATTATAATTATGCAGGGAGTTTTACGGTTTATATGGACACTGCAATGTAAATAGAGCAGAAAAACAGAAGAAGAAAAGGAAAAAAGAAAAT